TATAGCTTACTTTTAAATCATACCTCTTGGTTTCGTATCGTCTAAATAAAAATTGTAGTAGATAAGTTCAGAAGTAACAAGTTAACTTTAAAGAAATCTACTGTTAAACTAACAATATGTTTCCTACAATTATTGTGTTTGACAATACTGCTCAACAGACTAGTCAAATTGATAATCATTTATTCAAATTTCAATATTAAATAGAAATTAAACTTGCTGATTGATTTTCATTATCCTCATTTACAAATGGTTTGATAGACTAAAAATCATTTATTCTCAAATGAGTTAGAACACATTTTCAATTTCATGTTCTTCAATAAATGTTTGCAAAAAAAAATCGAAACAGCAACTTACAACATGATCATTGATCCTTGAACGAGATTGTTGTAGATTTTATCCGGACTATTTTGTTTCATAAATCTATATTTTTCTTTCAACACTCATGAGAGTCATAACATAAAGTCTGAAGCATGAAATTTATGTTTCTTTTTTTTTGAGTCAACATTTTTATAAACTCGTATTTATGAAAAATGATAATTAATGTGCATTTTCTAACTTACGGAATAAAATTATCGTTTGATCGACGTTTACCCAAAAAAAATCTATCTAGGGTTTGAAAGAGGAAAAAATACAATCATACAATCGAACATAGACTATGATGAATTTGTCTAGAGATTATTTAACAAAATATATACGTCATTATATATATATATATAGATTATTTTCTCTGAATAAGTAACGAAAGCCTAATTTACTTGTTTGCCTTTTACTTAGTGTGGATTGTCTTATAATTGCGATTTCGTCTGACATTCTATCAGTCTTAGTTGATATATGTAAATAATCCTGGCTGTTTCGAGATCCTTGTTGTTATACCACTTTATAAAAGATGGATGGAAGTTTGCTGGTGGTGAAAGATCTGACACTTATCTGGTCCTATTGGAGACTCGTCATCTATATGTACTTGCATCCCAAATGTGGTGTTCATTCTTGAACTTGAACTTAGTATTATTAGATTCAAATGTCATCTCATTATCCACTTAACTACTAGGTTTAGTTATTCACTTAAATGGCTACATCACGGCAATTTGTATAGAATGCACATGCTAAACATGATTGATCAAATTTCTGTAAAACTATCACCCACAAGATAAACCAAACCACTTCAAATTAAATTATCTTTTATACCTGTTATACAAGTAAGTGGCTAAAAGAACTCACTAGCTAAGTAAAGAATACCGTTGTGTTTGTAGCTAATGTCATTGTGTTCGTGACTCAGAATGAACGTCAACTCTAAGATGCAGATATATGCAGTTATTGAGTCTCAAGTAGAACGAAATGCGCGTCCTGAGCTCCACTAGTGGCCTCATTCTATCTATTCCAAAGTGAATAATATGTTGAATTTTCTTGTCTACTGTGATACGTTGGTGAAAATGTATGTCTGACAGAAAAATTTTGAATAGGTTTATTTAGCATGTGAGTTGTAACTTAGGCCCATATGTTAGTTTATATATAAATTGTTTAAATCTATTTTAAGTTATTGAGATGATTTTTCATGCGGAACTCTAGATCTGCAAGCAAAATTTTATAGACTTCATTGTATCCTGTGTCATATTTGCAATCGAAATACGTGTTATTAAACCCATTCTATTGAAAAGGTGACAAATTATGTATGTATGTTTTTATGTATGTTATTTTTCTATTTGAAGTCAATTTTTCTCAAAAATAATGATATTTTAATGTTGGGAAACTGTTGAGCTATTACGTAATTATTGATTTTAAACAAAACGACAAAAAATGTAGAGATACGCATGGATTCATTTGTTTTTCTTGAAATTTATATGATTCACTACTGGATTTCATTAATTTCTTGCAAACGATATCGCTTATGTTTACCTCTACATCGATGTTACACTGATGTTGATTCACTTACCGTTTCTTCTAGTTTCCTTGTTTCATCAGGAATCACTGATTAGCTGCGTTTATTTAGCAAGAAAGTTGAAAGATGTGAAGTAAAAACTATTTCACGACTGCCTTATCGCATAGTCGTGAGCTACCAGTTTAGTTATTGATATTTTACCTGGGAATTATTCAGTTTAGAAGAGAAAATATTCTTCGTGTGAGTCTGAGTATTAATGAGATCAATATTTTAGATATTATCTTAGTTAAATTGATTCCTCTGTGATTGTCACAAGAGAACTTTTGTCCTTTCTTATAGACTGGGAGAATCAGTGATTGATACCAGTCAGATGGGGTTACGCCCTATTCCCAGATCCTACCTAAGATCTCAGTCAATCTAACTGGTAAAACTGGACCACCATCCTTAAAAATCTCAGGGGTAAGTCTGTGAAGCCCTGAAGCTCTCCCTCACTATGCTTGTGAATTCTATAAACTTTCTAAAAGCTAAATGATACAAACCAATACATGAAGTTCATCTGTAGAAATTTTCATTCAAAAATTACTGTTATTCTGGCTTATTGGAATTCTCTACAAACTGCTCTACTGAATTTCAGTATCCCTAACAAGACTAAAGTCGGAAAGTTAAGATCGTGTGGAGAGCTTAATACCATTATGGAAGTACGGCTGCTTTTTGGTGTTGTATATATTCTAGTCTTAGTTAGCTTTTGATATTATACTATCATTCTTAACCATCATTGATTAGCTGATATTACACTTTTGGTTTAGTTTTCTCAATTTTTTATACCGTTTTCTTCTTAAAAACTCAAAAAGAGAGAGTCATTTTTTAACTTAACGATTTTCACCTTAAACAGACAAGTTAAACTCTATTCTTTGTTGTACTTTTACACTTTCTTGTTTCTTTCTTGTTTTTGTAAATTTATTTTCCCAAGTTTAAATTTTCAGTAGACTTATATCATACTTTGAACAATTGTAAAAAAAAGACTTGACTAAACAATAGGCAGAAAATGAATATGATAAGAATGTATTGTTATTTGTGACTGTTTTTCTTCTTTTCTCATGAAATATTTGTTACAAATATTACATTTAATGCTAAATAAATATGATTGAAAGAAAAATAATAAAATAAATTCAGTGATACATATTTTATTTGAACATGATCAATTCTTAAAATAATAAATATTTATCTTTCACTATTTAAGGATTCATCAGCAACAACATATTCTGCTAAGTGATGTATGATGACAATTTATTTGTAAGTCATTTTGCAACAAGTCATAGTCAAATTTGTCCCTAGTTTGAAAATAATAAGTGTAATTTATTAAGAAAATAAATGTATAAAATCTTCTGAGTAAATGTAGTTGAAAGAAGCGAATATACTTTTGTTGGAACTAGTTTCTTTGTACCTCATATAAAGAGAGAACATATCTTATGATTGAAGTAAATTTAAGTGAGTTAGTGAGTATAGATTTAGTGAAATCAAGAAAGACGGAAAATTTAAAGGGAATTTAAGGGCGACCAAGAACGTTGAACGATAAATTGTTTTTAAAATTTAACAAGGGTTGAATAACATTGACAACCGTGTAGAAATGATTGTTTGCAAGGTGTATCTTGCAACATACGGATTCTTGGGACAAGAAATACTTTTGAAAAAATAAGAAGAGATTGCTGGAATTCTTAAAAGCTATTTAATTTTTTTGAACAGTTTTCAAAAATGATCTCTTTGATAGCGAATTTTGTATCAGATGAAAGCCATCTATTTGGTTCAGTTAATGTGGATGCCTGTTTCGCATATAAAAAGGCAGTTTTTACTGAATAAAATGTATCTGTTGGACAGTTTTATGGGTGGAAATACACATAATTACAGACAAAACCTGACTTTAAGTGGTTTTGCAGAAAAAAAACATGCTTCATTTTAGTATGTGCTAAGTTAACTTACAATCCAGAGTAAAATGTAATAAAGGGACTCTGTCTACATGTGTATCAAAGCCACTGCTGAGTTTGTGTACAGAAAAAAAACACAAACGCTTCAAGCTGAGAAGTGAATTTTACCAAACATATTTTCTTGATCAACACTTTAGATGTGGGCCACAACTGAAGAAACATTCTCAGCATTGAATTATTATACAAAGTTAAGACTTCATTAGACCAATGTATTTGTTATACTGAAATTCGAAAAAATTTTTGATAAATTTGATTTGATAAGATCTTGTGTTTCATACCTGCTATTTTAGTTTTTCTAAAATTCCATAATAAGTTGCTGGAAACATTTTTCCTGCTAAACAGTCAGATATTTTTTATTACTGAACAAATGTTAATGCATAGTTTGTGAATAATTTACAGGGGCTTGCCATGAACATGCTGAAATTGTGTATTCACATTGGGATTATCATCAAGAAAAAAGGAATTTTCCTAAGTAAACTGCTGATAAGCGTTTGACAAGGAGAAAACTGCCGTTTATTACTTTGTTTATCCATCGCGTGTGAACTATTTATACATCAAAGTCGTATCCATGATATCATAGTTTGTTTCTCCTGCCTATAGATAAAGTTAATTGTTTTATTGAGCAGTTAGACAAACATATTATTATATATCGTTCCTGAATTTTTAAAACGCCTTTTATCTGTTAAAATAAAGATTCGGTCAATTTTAAGGTGTTCATTTATTTGTATTTTTGAATTACACCCTAGATATGTGTGATGGTGTAGATAATTTTCTTAATTAAAATATTTAAACATTAGTTTGAAAGCTAATCAGCAATTATCATCTAATAATGATTTGTTAGTAATACAATAAGAGCTTGTTACAGCTCGTACGCTTTGCTTATATGAGATTGTATTATTTCTCTTCATTTTTTTTCAGGATTAATAAATAAACTGTGATATTGCTTTGAATGACTTCATCATTGAATATCTAGAGATCTGTTTCGAATCTGCCCTGCGAATAGGATATATTTAACATGTCATTATTATTCAAGTCAAATAATCATTATGAAAATTTCGTGATTTGTTCATATTCAATGATTGATTATTCAAAAACCAAATTGATCTGAATCACTATTTCCTGATATTGATTATTCTACACTAATGAATTTACAACGACTCAGTATTAATGTTGGACGGAAAAGTATTATTTCAATTTTTGATGTACTGGTATGTGTGATATGAATATTTGTCGTAATTAAATTAAACTGTTAAATGTAATTATCCATTTATATTTCTGTTTATACATTTTTAATGTTGCTGAGATTAGGAGAGAGAACAAATTGTTCAGGCATTATTTTGAATTCATTTATTTTTTGCAAACAATTAGCAGTTCAGTTGCATCAATGTTTGAGTTGAAACATTTTAACAAACACACCTTACATTGTACTGAAAAAGCTTGCATAGCATCTTTCCAGATTAAGATTATATGGCTGTATAAGTATATGATTTTATAAACAGATTTAGAATCGACACAGTATCATATCATATCATATTCATTAACTAACATACGATTTTCAATCGCAAAGGGAAATTATTTATTCGTAATTCGGCTTTTATGAATAGTTATTACTCAGTCATTTTCTTTTCATTCAATTCAAGAGACCAATGGTAAACCACTAAATTATACAATTTACAATTAGTTATAATACTGCTTGTGATAGATAAGTAAACAAGCAATCTTCAAAATAGAATATCAGTTCGACTGTATGTTGTTTTATTTTGTTTATTAGTTTGGTGTAGTATGCAGTACGTATAAGAATATATACACATTTATAGCTTTTTTGTCATCAAAAATCCAAACAAAAGTATAAAGATCTATTCAGTGTATATATAAGGTATAGAAATACCATATACTCAATGATTACATCCGATAATTAAAATTAATTGCAGAACTGGTTAATTAAACTAATGAAAAACGTATCATATCTCATACTAAATGATCGAAAAAAATTAAGTTCCTATCTTCATTATTGTTAAGAGTTTAGATAAACTTACAGTAAATGTTTGAAGTGAAATTTAGTCTGAAAAAGCACTAAAAGGCATAATACTATTTGATAAACTAAATTTGCAATCATGAAATAAAATAAGCACATTAAATGAAAGAAATAATGTCAGTGTGAAGTATTGTCCTGCGCTATTGAATAGATTTAATATATATATATATATATATAATGTGGAGTATTATCTTAACAACATCTCTGTTCATTGATTTTATTTAATAGCACAAACGTTCTCAGTCAACTGCAGTTACCACATACAAGTCTCAAAGTAATAGGCAATCTATGAACACTGCTGGATTTCAATTTCTTTCACACAAAAATTATTATCCTTTAATGATTGATTCAATTACACATCAATTGGATCTGATTGAAAAATGTATGTGTTCTTTTTAAGATGAATGTATACGTTTTTAAAGTGTAATTTATAATGAACATAGTCTGTTGAAACTTTTTCTCCAAGCGATTCATCATTTTATTATGAGACGAAAAAAATCAAGTCAGCAAAGATTGTAATCATTGATTAAAGTAAACATTTATAATTATGATAGTGCGAAAGAAATCTGCTAGATGTAGATCAAAGAATTAACTAAATTACACATATCTTTCATGTTTTATTCTTTTATATTTTAAGAACGGCAATGATTACTGTTCCACTCAGCGTTTATTGTTTGCCTGAAAAAAATTTGGAATAAAATAGATTTAAACGGCTGATAAGTAAGCAGTTGATCTTGTCTCCTAGAAAAGTATTATTTATTCCAAACTAATTATTGGATCATTTCATTTCTATCACAAGTCCTATTTACAGTGTTAGTTTAAAAAACATGCGAAAGCAGATTTTTTAAGTTGATTCGTCGTCATATTTTTTTGAGCATAGATATTTCTTAAATCTAATCAATTTAGTTTTGTGTAATACAGAAATCCCTATCAGGTAATATTATTGAGTGAAGTAATTATTAGCAAAGCTCATAGAGGCTTTCATTAAATTTTCTGGGAATTGCAATATTTATCAACTAAGGATTATACTTCATGATTAAAATGAGGCATTTTACAGTGTCAGTGTTACTGTTGTATTAAACTATTAAAAAAAACACATTTAAAACGCTGACTACAGCTGACATAAAGGTGATATGTTGATGTATTTCAAGTTGTATTCTTTCATTCACTTATATAATTTATCGTAATAGTACTCAAATACTGTTTAACGTGCCATTGTAAATATAGCTAGAACATGAGCTAAAACTGTAACGAAAGAGCTTTTAGTCTTTGAAACAATCGCACAAAATGTTTACAGAATTTCACATTCGTATTTAAAAATAACCATTTATGGTTTGAGTTAATATAGCATGAATAAATATGATGAATCCTCTATTTTAAGCACCACATTTATTGGTTATTTAGGTTAGAAATCCAGTATTCGATATCACAGGATATCATGATCAATGCGTTCGCATCTAGTGTAATGCACAGACGAAAACAAAGAGAAGCAGATGACTAGTATTCAATCAGTATCGAATAAACGACATATTCACCAACCTTTAGCTTGAAATTAAAATTTCCAAGGGTTTACATGCGATCCCTAAGTTATGGCAATACATTTTGCCAAAATACGAATTGAACACTGTAATCGAATTCAGTTTATTCAATTTTTCAAATACATTTCATTGCTATCAACTTTTTGAAATGAGATCTCTGCCAAAATTCATTGTTCATTATTTCATAAAGTTAAACAATCCAGACAATCTTTTCATTAGTTTTATTAAATTAAACTGAACCGTATTCAGGTGTTCAATCACGAAGACTGACAAATAAACATTACATACTCAAAAAAACATAACGTCGGTAGCTATTTACTGATCGTTTAGTGTATCTCGATGTACATTCTAAATGGTATTCTATAATATCATACATTTTTACTGCGCCTTCCTTGATAAGTTTTAATATTCATTCATTTATTATACAAATTAGCTTAATTTTGAGTCGAACAATGAAAGATTCATTCAAATCTTCTTTAGTTATCAAGAATTTATTTGGATTATCAAAAACCAGTAATTTTCATGATTATTTATTAATAATAATTTATTTATTTATTTATAATAAATCACAGTTGTTTCAGTTATTGAACAAATCACTAATGCCAGACAATCATATTCCATGGCCTTGAAAAATATATGTCAGTCATTTAAAGAAAGTGTGGAAAATGTTGAAAATGTAGAGTAAGTTATTCGTTTAGATGTAGTTTTCATTTTACTCTATCCTAATCACAGTAGATTAACTCCTCCCCTTTAATTTAATAAGTAAAGACTTAAATCAATGTTTTGTTCAAATTGAAAACTCAACCAGGTTAAATATTTGCTACACATGAAACGTATTCTGATAGAAAAAATATCAATTAACCTTAAATCGCGTAAAATCAAATATTTTATTATATTAAACTGTTGTATGTTCGTATGATGATTTCTCAAAATATTGATGTATATATATTAGCAAAGTTGAATTATTGTTATTCAAACTAATTTCATTTAGAAAACTATTGTTGAATAATCAGTAAGCAATATATATATATATATATATATATATATATATATATATATATAGAGAGAGAGAGAGAGAGAGAAAAAGTATCAAACACTAACTTTTATGACAAGCCTATGTATAACATGAAAAAATGATGTTGCTAATTGTAACACGAAAGCATGTATAAGTTAAGTAAGTTAACGGAATTCATGCTAAAAGAATATGAATAATTCACTTCATTAATTTATCCCATATGTTTGTTTGCCTTATTTATCTACTATACATAAGTTTTAACATTATAATCTAGTTAGATTGTTCGCCTTTTTTTTATTGTCTGATTGTCTAGGCCAAAATTTTAGGTTTTTTTTAAGAAAGAATATTTATTTATGTACATTGTTGATCTATTGTAAAAAAAAATATTTGTAATCAATGTTTTAACTAGTTTTGTTCATCATAAAAAATGGGCTAATATAATATATAATGTAAGCCAACTTATACGATGACAGAATTTCGCTTGGATAATATTTTCGTTAATCTTTTTTTTTAAGCGGGATAGTATAGATAGAAAATATTCTTATTCATAAGTAAATTATAGCAAACAATTATAAAATATATATTTAATCTCTTATCACAATATTAAGTGCCTATTATGAAGATTGAGTTGAGCTGAATAAAAAAAATGAAGAAGGAAATTATTAATGTATTGCCTAATTTGAATAAGATGATTTATTCATTTACATGTCAATGTGTGTGTAAATGAATAAGTGATAATTGAATACAATAAGGATGAGTTTTTCTCTCAGTGTTCTAGAAGATTTCTTAATTTTACTCTTCTTTGAATGTTTATTCACACCATGTTAATTCATAATTCATATTCTAGGGTCGGTGTTAGTTGTTATTATAATAAACTCTTCTTAATAAACATAAAAATCAACTTCTGATTCAATACTATTGTCTTGTAGGATGTGTGGACAAGTAATTATGTGAAAAGATGATTCAAAACGCGTACTGTACAGTAGAAATAATATCTACTGATTATGTTATTAGGCAGACTGTCAATGTACACCTAGGAATTATACATGAATATTTCAAGAGATTTTGTTTTTGATATTCTGTTAGTTAATTTGGGGCACAGTTTTGGAGGTTTGCGTTTTTTGCACATTTGAAATCATCAATCAATAATTGTCAGACCACCATTAGAAACCTGGAAGCACAGGATGGCCGTTTCGTCATGGTATGGGACTTATCAGCAGTGCGCATCCACGACTCCTGCTCCTCGAAGGATTCGAACCCGGGACCTTTGGCACTGTAGGCGAACGCCTTACCATCGGACCACTGGGCCAGCATCCAACGGTGTTAATGTCTAACTCTGATTGATCGAGGGATTTTGCGCGACCTCACCCATTTGTCTTTGGTGACTAGTGACTAGCTTCGTGAGGAAATTTTCGGAGTTATAGTTGAGGAGACGTGAACAATGAAGTTCAGCTCTGTCGGGTGTAGGCAGTAACTACCAAAGACAAATGGGTGAGGTCGCGCAAAATCCCTAGATCAATCAGAGTTAGACATTAACTCGAGGGGGTGCCCGCTCCGTGGTCCGATGGTAAGGCGTTCGCCTACAATGCCAAAGGTCCCGGGTTCGAATCCTTCGAGGAGCAGGGGTCGTGGATGAGCACTGCTGATGAGTCCCATACCAGGAAGAAACGGCCGTCCAGTGCTTCCAGGTTTCTAATGGTGGTCTAACAATGATTGGTTGATGACTTCAATTTCTGTTAGTTGTTTGAACTGCTTACTTCAAAGTTTACATGATTAAGTTAGCTTATCTAATATCAGTTTTTTTGTTAAGAGATAAAAAAAAGAGACATTAATCTTGTGAAATATCAATGTATGCAGAGGATATTAAAGTTTTGCAAAATTAGATTTTGTTACTCATGAAACGTATCATTGTCAACGTTAAATTTTACAGAATGTTTCGAATAAATATTGTAAAGGAAACAGTTTAAAAAGCTTTTCGCTCGTTGAAACTAATTATAACATATGTACTTAAACGTTGAATTATGTGGTAGCATTTTTTAAAAAGTCATTTGAAAATATAAAAGTCTACTTTAAAACTGGTGAATTATCACGCAGTTTATGGTATCTGGTCTTATTAAATTCATATAGGAAAGTTTGAACGTCACATTCATAAACAATTTCCTACTGAAGAAAGAAATCAATTTATTGTAAAGCGATTGCTTTGTGAATAAAGCAATTGATTCTTAAAGTAAAAGTGTAGGCTTCTTATTACTTTCTAATAAAATGATGCTGTGAATATCTAGTCTAGTTGCTAAATAATTGTAATTGATCAACATGTAAATAAGTAATATTACGTACATAAAATCTTAATTTTAAACATAATATTGATTTATTATGTACAATGTTAATAAACTAACTCATAATTAACTAACACTTATAACAAGTTTACTACTTTTAATAGAATTAATGGTTATTCGAATCAATGCTATGTAGCATTTAATTCAATTATATTTCAAGATAGTTGGGATTGAGTCTGTAAGTTTAATCTAATTTTGATAGTTTATTTATTTCCTGAATGTTTTATGAATCATTAGGAATAACAATGATTCAACAACAACAACAACTACTACTACTACCAATAATAAGGATCATGAAATTCTTGATAATCTTTGGCACATATTTATTGAGAAATCTCAAGATGAAGCCGGGGTAAGTTGTAGATCCAGAAAATTTTACACTTATTAAGTAGACATCTTTAAGCGCAAAAAGTCTAAATATGTACATACTTTGTGTACTAATATTTTATTTACTATTCAAATAGGGTTGGATAAAAAATATACAAGAGTTCCCAGGGGTCAGTTGTTACGCATGCACGTAAACATGTCATCTGATATGCTTGAACTGTTACGAGTTTAGCTTAGTCGTAAAACGAGGGCGAGGATCTGGTGACAGGACAGGCTATTCTAATCCGAGTGTCCCAAACCTCCATTGAGTAAGAGAAGAAGACTCGATATGGAACAGAACGTGTATTCTACAAGCATCCAGAAAGCTAGAGGTCCCAGTCCAGAAGAAAACCAGGATCCCGGACTAGGGATCCGGGTCCGGGTCCTAAAAAGTTGCAGATAATGCAGATTTATACAATTAGGTCGAATAGGAAACAACATTGAAGTACGTAACATTGTTAGCTAGGACGATCATAATATTGAACAGTAGGAATTGACCGATAGAATTAGATTTACAAAAACAATTCTCTTAGGATATTTGATGAATATCCTAACATCAATGACTGTCAAAATTGGAAAAAATTTCGCATATTTAAGTCGACTGAGGTGGTGCATACAAGATTTCTAGATCTCAGGAGATCATTGGCAACAATATTTTCAAACTGTCACACATGAATACAGTGGTTAAGATTTACATGTTCAGTCAAGTCATAGTATAGTTCTTCATTTATTCAGTATCCTAAACAAGTGGGTAAAATCCACTAGTTACAGTTTCCTTTTTAGAACTTAGTAAAATCTTTTTTTTAGTTAGAGCTTTGGAGATTTGTGTTTTCACATATTTGAAATCATCAATCAATCATTGTTAGACCACCATTGGAAACCTGGAAGCACTGGACGGCCGTTTCGTCCTGGTATGAGACTCATCAGCAATGTGCATCCACGACTACTGCACTGAAGGTCACGGGTTCGAATCCTGCGAGGTGCAGTAGTCTTGGATGCGCACTGATGATGAGTCCCATACCAGGACGAAACGGCCATCCAGTGCTTCCAGGTTTCTAATGATGGTCTAACAATCATTGATTGATGATTAGTAAAATCTTTTTAAATTCGTAAATCAGTAAACCTTATATAAACACTGTTTTGTAGAGATTCTTCTGTTGTGTTCACTATAAAAATAATATGAAATTATTATTATATTTAGTGTAGAGTTAATTATGAATAATGATTATTCTAACATCTTTGCAGTTTCAAAACTAATTGGAAATTTTTCGGGTTTAACAAACGATGTAATTTATTCATTCTTGGTTATCCTGTTAATTAATCTCGGTTTTGAAAGTAACTGTGATAAAAACTTTGAACTCCTACAATTTATACTCGTTAAATTTCATCATTTCAAGAATTGTCATGTGATAAGTTTATTTCTAGAAACTTGTAAATGTTTATTTTATGTAAATGTTGGCTAGAACATGCAAGCGTTGCTAACCTGAATAGAATTGTTTTCATGTCTGTACTTCGCGACAAATTGTTATTAAATATTTACGATAGGAAGAACACCATTTAAGAATATTAAAGATTCACATTGTGAAAATTAGAACAACACATAAACGAACCATATTTTTTTTCGATTAGATCGTCATCAGGCTTCACTCTGATATACATGAATATTTATATGAAAATGTTAAACTAATCTAGGCAATTTGAGTCAATTATCACAATGAAATAAAATAGATTACGTTACTACACATAACAGGCAAAAGTACAAGTTGATAGTGGGAAGACAGGTGTACTGATAGTAGTAAGAAAAATAAAAGACGATAACAAAAGTTTTATCAATAGTAGGTCAAACGTGAATAAATAGACTTAAAATAATCATTAAAAAACATTAAAACCATTACGTAATAAGAAATGTGTACATAATTAAATAGTGAACAATATAAATGGGAAGAGGCAGAAAATTACCAACAAATACAGGATGTGAAAATAATACTAGTAATAACAAAATAAAATTTAAAAAATTTTAGACGTTAGTTTAGTCATATCCGGCCAAGGAAGAGATAGAGGTGTCACATAAATTGGGGTTGAATGTACGAATTCCTATGGCTTCTGCTGTGTGTGGGAGACGGGATCGAACACCGTCGGAAAATGATGGAGGAATACAATAGATCACCCGAAAAGATCTAGACTTATCTACAGTATGACCTTTAGCAACCAGATGTGCCAAGATAGAACTGCATATTGTTTTTAGCTGGCCCTTCATAAACCATGCTGTGAGGTGTTTCCTCATTCGTTGGTTTAGTTGCCTGGTAGTACGCCCGATATAGCTATTTCCACAGGAGCGGCTGAGTATGTAAATGCACATAGAGGATCCTAACTCAGGTAACTTATCCTTCGTTTGGATGGACATCAATGAACGAGTCGAGAGAGTCAACTCAAGTTTGGCTGCGTAAAATGTTCTACTAAGTACTATCGCTACTCTGTCCCGTAGATTATCGCAGGCCACATCTCCGTTGAATTGTAGTTCAATAAATAAAGGCTTCTTTTGAGCGGCCGAAGTTTCTGACTTCTTTTTTACATTAAACAAGTCTTTCCTTGTGAATGTGCTAGGGTAGCCGATCTCGGTTAGTGAGCTGTTGATAAATTCCACTGAACGGATCATTTTTGCTCTACTCTAACCATGAAAGTGAGTTCCGGGTGTACACTGTTGAATTGTTCAAGGAGTTTATCTTTACTGATGTTCTGATCTGCGATGATGAATGTGTCATCAGCGTACCGGCAATATAGATCAAGTTTCTTAGTAACCATATTAAGTGGTCCATTTTCAAGTTTTGTTAGGAAGAGATTAGCTAGAATTTGGTCTAGAGGTAAGCCTATGGCTATCCCGTCTATTTGTCTATAATAAGTGTTGTTGAAGACGAAATGGACGTTAATCGTACATCTTAAGAGCAATATTTTCAGGCAAGCCAATGTTGATTTGTTTTTCCTTTCTTTGCTCGCATATAAATTCAATAGTCTCAAGAAGTGGTACGTCAGTAAACAAAGATATCACATCCAGTGGGATCATATTTTTCCTACTGACATTCATATTTTCCACTTTCAAAGTGAAATCGAAAACGTCTTTTACACTCCGTACAACTGATTTCATTAAATTTTCCCCATTTCGACAATGATAAATTTTTACAGACGGTCATATGAATGATTATTGGAAATCATTGCTTAAACAAGTTCAAGGCACTTTCGATAGCATTTACAAGTAAATTTGATTCAACACTGATATATTCAAATACTAGCTACAGTACGCACTATTGTCATTTATTATCTACTAAGAATTTGGTAATAATTGAACTTTGACCAAGATTAAATATCCCATCATCAAAAGATCAATTCATTAACCAACTGCAATAAAACACTCGAAAACCAATCTTACATAGATTGACTTATTTTTAAAAGGGTATAAAAGGAAGTGCTTTTTATAATGAAATCCATTTACTAGATACTTTATGCTTTCAAAAATTTTCATCGCATTGGTGAGTAGCTGTCTAAGTAGCATTATGGTGAAAACCCCATCAGTTCCGAATTCCCGAATTCCACTCTCAGACAGTCATTTGTGAGATGCGTTTTGCTAACTTGTTGTTTCTTTTTGTATTAAATTGACTGGAAAATGCATATTTCCCTAATAAGTTCAATGAATGTATTTGTTTACAAGGCAACGTAAGACAGTATAACTATTCATTCCTTGCTGAATAAAAATATCTGTCAAGTAAGAACTAAAGTGTAAGGTAAAAATTCAGGCTGGTCACAATATCGACCTACTCAGAAGTATAATTTATTCATAAAAATTTTAAATTAAATCGTTTAATCTGATATTTTTAACGTTTTAGCTTCATGAAAATGTAATTCAAGAGACCAAAGCCAAAGTTGTAATTCCATTACAGTGTATTGTGAAACAGAGAAGGCAACAAATTTCTCGTTTAAAAGCATTCCGTACATTAACAGATTTTACACTTAAAGAATGTAGTGAAAAAGTTGTTGAGGTGAGCTGTTTGTAAATAAATACATTATTCTTATAAACATTGCGGATAAATAATAATTGATTATAAACAGAGAGCTCATGCAGATTAAACAACAGTTTATCCTTGATTTGATTGAAAAAGAATTGATTTGTGTAAAAAAATGCTTCATGTTGTAGGAAAAACTATATGGTTTAGTCTATTTTAATTTCACTATGCTAACAACGATCGATCGATAGATAGGCTGAATGTCCCATAACTTTTAGACAAGGAAACTAATACAACAATATTCGGACTATGTTGGGTTTAATTTAGATAAAGATTTCCATTTTTTTATGAAGTATAAGTAAAGCATTTAAAATCTAATCCATGTCATTGTTTATGGTCAAAACAAGTCAGTAATAAATGTTGATTATGTGTTACGACTTGACCTAATTATGTAATGCATCCATAAGGATCGGTATTACAGATATTTAATTTGGCGGCTTCTTTAAAGAAAACAATAGATAAAATTTTCTAGAAGAAATTATTTGTTTACTAGTTGGTTGATATCAGTGAAATTATTGTTCATCTAGGAAATAATCTTGACAGTTAATTAAATAAAACATTTTGATAATAATGGAATTATAATTAAAGAGAGTTTTGGAAATTCTAACTGATGTGAAACTATGATATCTGGCTGTGAATTTTTTGTCTGGGAATTTCGGTTACTTTATTCATAGCTTTACTTGACTACAGTGACATATCGCTACAGATTCTCAGCATAGAAAGAAACCATTTTCCATTGGATCTAATGGAAGCTTGAGAATAGAAGTTATGTTTCATCAAAAAATCTGTTTATCTTATCGAAGGTCAGTCATTCAGTGGAAACATTACTTCATAGTCACCAAAACTTTCAACAACTCAAACCGATCTTTACTCACCTTTGTTTGAAAATCATGATAAGCTCATCAGCCTTTTAATGAACAATATCATTTAGTAGTGAGAACATAAATCTCTATTTGTAAAATGATCAGTTAATCAATTTTAACTTTTGTTAAGCATTTTTGTTTTGGTTCATTCCAGTTACATGGTAATTATGCAGAGATGTATAGAATTCATCGTGAATTATTACAAACCAAATCTATAAAAGACTTATTAAATGCACATAACTCTTATGTACTTCAATTACATATGACCAATGCTATGAAAGCTTATTATCATAATTTAATATTACCACAACTTATGCAAGTGAGTTTTAAAATCAAAGATTTATTTTCTTTTTTGGTTTGATCGAATCGATTTGTCTACCTTTTTTTACGCACAAAACTTTCTATGCGATTTTAAAATCATTCATTAAATATTGCGCATATAATCATTTCTCATAATGTGTCTCAATAAAAACTTTTAAATATATTATAAAAATGAAATGTTTTATTCACTTTTTGGTGAATTATTTTTCAATCTTTGAATTCAAGGCAAAATTACTAGTTTTTGAAATTATTAAACTTAAGGTTAACTAAATTATGTACTGCAAAGAGTAGTTTTCATTCATTGTTAACTTTTACTTCTTTTATGCAGATCATTGTCGACATTTGTATTGGCTTAATTTGGCAATAACTTTTTAGCAGCAACTGTTGTTAATCCAATAAACTTACGAATTATAAATGATGTTTGTGATGTTATGATTATGCAATGTTGAAACCATGAATCGATCAAAGTTAGACCACCATTAGAAACCTGGAAGCACTGGACGGCCGTTTCGTCCTGGTATGGGACTCATCAGCAGTGCGCATCCACGACCGATTCATGGTTTAAAAATGTAGTAGCTTAACCATCTTCACAACAACCCTGCAATGCGATTATGCACTTGTTAACTTTGAATTCTGCATGTTTTGTTTGAATGCTTTCATTAGTAATTGTTCCCTGTCATTCTATCGTTTAATGTTTCATTTATTATTGCCGCCATGAAAATCACATTTCAAAGTTAGCCATAGTAAACACAGTTATAAATGTTTGTGAAGAGAGATTTACTCTGGCAGTGTATATATTGTAAATGGATTCTTTAAATTTCATTATGTTAAAATCAGTAATGTAGTTTAAAAAAGCACTTACTTGGAAGAACGTTTAAGTCTAATAAACAAATTGTAATGTAACATTGAACCATAATGAAACGAAGGAAATATTTATTAAGAGAAAAATTTCTACTACGTTTAAGCGAATATGGCTATTTATAATGAAAGAAAACCATTGTATACCCAAACAAGTATTAAGAACAAATCAGTGAAGAAATGTTTTGCGACTATGGGTCATTTGTTATGGTTTTTTAAAGTTAATGTTTACTTATTAACCCATAAATAAATAAACAAGTACAACCTCACCAAACAAAGTTAGTGATCGTACTAAGATCATACTAAATCTCTTGATGTTCTTCTGTTGTATATTTCAACTAATCATTTAAAAAGTGACCAGTTTTTGGGTAGCTACATTGTTTACAATTATAATGATGGATTATATATTGTTTGAGCAATAGCTAGTATGACATGTTAACTTGAATAGATTTGTTTAGTAATTAATTTGTGAGATTGACAATCAGAGTAGAGTGAAAGAAATCATCATGTGATGAAAAATCAGATCGAATGTTTTATAGAAGACTGTAGAATTAAGGAAGTAGGACTAAACTAAATGATGAGTGATACTTACATTATTCATATGTTTGTGCAGTAATTATCATAATAGACATGATGTTTCGTGCTCATGGAAAGTGTGCAGCTTGGACCTAACCATAAGGACAGAACTCAAGACATTCTAATTGGCATGCGGATGCTTGACTATAGACCAGTGAGTCAGTAATTAGTGCTTCAGATATCTACCTTTCATCAGTTCGTATTATGGTGCAGCAATCTTCCGATATTCTGGTGACGGAGTCGTAGATAGACACTGATGTGAGGTTTCGCACTAGGATGAAATAAGTGAATAATCATTCATGGTTTTCAACGGTTGTTTGACTGAGATCAGTTACTGGTGTTAACTGGAAAATATTCTTGTCCGTTTGGCATTGAGCTTTGATTTTATATTCGTGGAAATACGATTTATTGTATTCATTTTATCCCGAAAAACGTGTCCCAATAATATTTTAATAATTTTAGCATGATTCGATACTCATATCTAATTACTTACTTACTTATTTTCGCCTGTTACCCCCAACGGAGCATAGGCCGCTCACCAGTTTTCTCCAACCAACTCTGTCCTGGGCTTCCCTCTCCAGTTCTGTCTAATGTTTGTTCATTCCTCTCATATCTTTCTCTATTTCTCGGCTTAAGGTATTCTTTGGCCTTCCTCTTTTCCTTTTGCCTTGAGGGTTCCATGTGAGGGCTTGTCTCGTGACACAGTTAGGTGCTTTCCGCAATGTGTGTCCTATCCACTTCCAACGCTTCTTCCTGATTTCCTCATCCACTGGAATCTGGTTTGTTCTCTCCCACAGTTCGTTGTTGCTGATGGTATCTGGCCAACGAATACGAAGTATTTTGCGTAGACACCTGTTAATAAACACTTGTATCTTCTGGATGATGGCTTTGGTAGTTCTCCATGTTTCCGCTCCATACAGTAGAACTGTCTTCACATTTGTATTGAAAATCCTTATTTTGGTTTTGGTTGAAAGTTGTTTGGAGTTCCAGATATTTTTCAACTGTAGAAATGCAGCCCTTGCTTTGCCAATCCGTGCCCTCATATCTGCATCGGATCCACCATGGTTGTCGATGATGCTGCCAAGATATGTAAAGGTGTTGACATCCTCCAAGGCATCTCCATCAAGGGTGATTTGGTTGGTGCATGTTGTGTTGCATCGGAGAATTTCGCTTTTCCCTTTATGTATGTTGAGACCCACTGCTGCAGAGGCTGCTGCTACACTGGTCGTCTTCTCTTGCATTTGTTGTTGAGTGTGCGATAGAAGAGCCAAGTCATCTGCGAAGTCCAGATCGTCCTAACTGTCCAGTTGATACCATGCTTCCCTCCAGATGTCGACGTCTTCATAATCCAGTCGATCACCAGGAGAAAGAGGAAGGGCGAGAGTAAGCAATCTTGCCTGACACCGGTCTACACCTCGAAAGAGTCTGTTAGCCGTCCATCGTGTACGATTTTGCAGTTGAATCCATCATAAGAATTCCGTATGATGTTGACTATTTTCTCAGGCACACCGTAGTGTCGAAGAAGCCTCCACAGTGTTTTCCTATCCACGCTATCGAATGCTTTCTCGTAGTCGATGAAGTTGATGTAGAGTGGTGAATTCCATTCAATTGATTGTTCCACAATGATCCGTAATGTAGCGATTCGGTCAGTACACGATCGATCCTTACGAAATCCGGCCTGTTGATCTCGAAGTTATTTTATTATGTAGACCTAATTTCATGATTTCCATTACCTTATTACAACTTAGGTTGCATTGTTCAGAGTTTTAAACATTAGGAATAAGAGATTATGTTGTAGATTCTCTGGTAATGTTTATTCTTATAGTTAGACTGTTCTTTACAGTGTTTAGCCCATCATTCCAAAATACTGCGCTGCAAGTGGATCATTGTTCTATCTTTTCCAGATACTGTTTCGCCTACTCCTGTTTTTTCGATAAATCTTCCTTCACAGCCTTCTCTGTCGCACCCAGTATTGCTTACGATTACTGCGTAAACATTTTGTTAGCCTACGTTTAAAGTGCATTTGTTTCTTGTCGTTTTCTGATTTTATCGCGATGGATTATGAGGAATATATTAATCCGGTAGAGTTTGTTGGTAAGAGTCACTCGTAGATGTCATTGTCGCTCTCGAAACTGTCTGGATGTCATGTCAGCATGTCTGACTGTACATAACCTTATTATCTTTGCAGTTGTTTATGAAATATGCTATTTTTTGTCGTTAGGCTGAACTCTAAGAAATCAGCTTGCTGTGACTTTTATGTTTCCAATGAGATGTAGGAAAGTACCTGGCCAAATTGTAAACGTGCAAACCGATGGTTGATAGGGCTATGTTCCGGTTTTTTTTCTATCATTCAGTCGATTGTTAGGGTCACTATGCTCGAAAAGGTCTTTATTTATACTTATAGTTGGTACTTACTAAAAAAGTATAAATTTTGAAACACTTTATACAATAGTCATAAAATCTGTTTCGAAGATAAGTAGATAAAACGTCAATACTTTTGTAGGATGACAATTCGTAAAATTTATATCTCTAACCAAATGGTACCATACTTAATGAGATTTACCAAAATCGTTTTCAATGTTATTTCATTAGACTGGAACAAATAATACTGACATTTTTTGAAAAAATGTTACATAGCTCAATCTTGTGTTTAATTCGTTCATTTTATCTATGCAAAATGCGTGAGCATTTTTATCGTAGATTAACATGTAATTATATTAGATTTGTGTGTTTGAATGGTAATAATAATAATGGTTATAATATTATATGTTTAAAGAAATCAGTATTCAGATTTTCTTTATCACTTATACTGTAGGAATTCGAATCCATTGTCAGGGAAAACACCGTTGAATTTGTCCAAATTTTTGATTATTTTTGCTCAATTCATGCAAATATGGTAAGCAATATCGAATTCGTCTATACATGTAGCTTATTATTTTCCTTAGAAGAATTTTTCACTTATAAATAACTGCGTATTTATTTGTATTTAAGTGTACGACACTTAGCACTTACAAAATATGTCTTATTCCTATTTGCTGGGGATGTTAGATCCCCAGAACTCGCTTGATAAATATTTTTGTTTTGGATTTATTTTATGGACCGATCACTTGACCTTGAGATTGCATTTCTCACCAGAAAAATCCTTGGCCGTGATTGGTTATTATGCCATTTTAGTGTGCTCTTTTTGTGACGTCCCAAGGACGTCTCTATAGAGTATAAATAAACGCAGTTTGAGTGCTTGGATTCATTGTGTGATGGCTGGCTGTTTAAGGAATACACTTCTACGCCATGTCAAGACTTCTTGTTGATACAATTGGGTCAAGGGATCACAGTAGCCTACCTGGATGCTGGTTCATTGTTTTGTTCTCGTTACTCGACTAAGGTGAACTCGTAATAGTTTTAAGCATACCTAGAGACGAGCGTAACACTATTATAAGATATTTAAAATAAGACTGTTTGCAACTGAAGATTGTGTTCATAGAGGATACAGGAAAGTTATGGAATTAGCAGTTGTAATAAAAGGTTACTCGTTGAAAAATCACTTATTAAGTCAAATACCATGGATTCCAATTTTTATGATATTGAAATTCATTAGCATGCATCTTCATAGATGACATGTTTCACTGAATCTGCTATAATTGTAATAATTCAAAATAAAAATAATTTATATCTTTCTTTAAGTATTGATTTTTATTCATTCAACCTTCTGATCTGTTTTCATTAAGAGCCTGGTAAGATTATTTAATTTTAAAATATTTCGCTTATAATTAGTCGTATTACTTGTGATGTGTTAATTTAATAAACTGTATTTTATCTTTTACGATAGAATGGAATGTATTCTCATCTTTTTAGCTGAAGGCAATAAAAAAATACAGTTAAAATCATAAGTCAAAATATTGTGCATAAATTTTCATTATGCTGGAAAGTAATCTTTTCTTCATTTGTAAATTGTTCAACAAATAATAAACCGTGATCAGGAGCAGCGAAATACTAATCTCTTTGTGTAGTTCCCTGATTACATTTTCGGGGGAAAGATTTATTATCTTGAGGAGATTACAGTACGGGTATTGTATGTTATTTGTTAGTTCATTTCAATATTAATTGACAGACCAACTAATAAGTTTGAAATAATATTCATCCTGCATCACAGACTAATAAGAGTTGGAAAGGAAGGTATACTAGACACTGATTTTATCTTTGATGGGAACTCCTCAGAATTGCTTTTCTGACCACTGATATAGTATCTAGTAAACATCGAATAAATTTTTACAATCATGACAGTAATATATTTTATTTCATTTTAACAGTTTGAACAGCTGATTTGTAATAATAATGGTGTTCAATTTAAAGCGAAAGAAATTTCTCCAGATACTGTTGTATCAGCTATTGTGCATAATTTAAATAAAAATCAAAATCCAACACATTGGCAGCTAATTGAATATCTTCCACCAGACTGTGATTGTCCTGAAGTAAGTGGTATATTCAAATATTTAGGCTTGTGTTGGTTTAATGTGTTTAAATTACTGTTAGTAAGATAACAGGTGAAATCTTTTAGTAAAATATATTTGAATTATTTTCAAGCATTCTTGAGATCATTTCACTGTCAGTGAGTGCATCAAGGTCAGGCGGTTTGACACTTTCTCATGCTTATCTGCAGCACAAGAAATGTTTCACTACTTAGTTGTTTCTAAGCTTCCTACTCAAAAATCTTGATATTTACCTCTAAGTTAGCATTTCTCAATCACTGTAGAAGTACAGGTGTGATTCCGGTTGATAGAGAAGGTGAATTTTGTTTTCAACTGTTGACGAATTTCATGGATCCGCAGATTCACATCACTGAGAAATCGTCTTCTAGAACTGAGAAACTATCCAGTGCTTCCTGGTCTCAAATAATTGTCCAATCAGTGTAAGTGTACGATGCAGAACTTGAAAATTCCATATATTGTTGAAATGAGAAATTGTCTAAGCAACAAAAAATAACTTTTTTCCATGTTGACAGTTTTGTTATTGAGGCAAGCATTTACATTGATAATTACACAATTATATATATATTTATTACACTAATCTATCATTACTCTTAGTAGAAATGTCAGTTTTGTTTCATTTGATTATCAATTCACTTTTTCAATAAAATCACTTACATTTACGCTGTTCATTTTTATGTTAGTGAAAAAAACAACATTTAAATACATATCTACTACTTTTTTTTCAACACTGTGTGGTTAATCAATCATGAAAAATTATGGTTGACAAAGCAAATAATTGATTAAAATGACAATTGTATTAAAGCTTACTAGTGTTTCTCACATCAGTAATAAGATAATTATCGGAAATCTTTTTTTTCTTGTCATAGATTTGTGAATATTTCCTACTTAGTTCATGTTTTCGAGTATTACTTGCCATATATATATATATATATATATATATATATATATATATATATATATATATATATATATATATATATATATATATATATATATATATATATATATTGTTCTCCAAATGTTTTAATGATATGTAAAAACAGGACATAGAATGATCAGTTATTATTTTAGCTGATATTTCAGCTATTAACATATTAAAACGATAATACTGATCGATTTTAAGCGTGAATAGATTCATTTGTGAAATAAATATTGCGCCACCTAATATATATATATATTTTTTTTAAAAATAAAATGTACTAATAATAAGCAGCGTTTTCTAGTAGTCATTTTCTTTACGAAGTTTAGTGTTAAGAATGTTTGGTTACACTCAACCAGTAGACAAGCTATAAACCTAGAAATTATTTAAGTTTATTTGAGCATACAGTTTCTATTTCTTTCGGGATCAAGATGTATCTAAAACTTTGAAAAATCGCTATTATTCTGTAACAATTATCAAAGCACTTGTACGGATATATAATGTTATTTTTTTGTCGGAGTTGCGTAAAATCAGATTATATTGGCTTTTATTAGTCAAAAAAATTATTATGGATAAATCTTCTAGTAGTATTTCTGTTGATGGGATGAAAGTGATTATACTTAAAGTCACTCAGTAATTTACTTATAATGTACAATTTTATCATTTAAAGAATACTATGATGAGTATAAATGGATAAAGAACAATATAAATAATACAAGATATATGTATACATGCGATTGACAAACACTTATTTATCGAGTATATCAGATTATTTCTATTATTTGTTAGTTGGATTATTATAAAGATTTTTCATTTTAACAGCTGAGCTACTTATATTCAGTATCAGTAGCCTGAAACAGAAGCATGAATGAACAGATATGCAAAACTCTGAAACTAATGAAATGTTAAATTAGTAGAATACTCCACACTTTCTGAATGCTAGTAATTGAATTTTTGTCAAAACGCTCTCGTTTTAATTTCTAAAATGACCATTAGTTAAGAATTTTTTTCAAACCCTGAAGTGAAAAAACATTGGAATCTCCCTAGTAAATTTTATATCAACAGCCATACGCAGATTCATGTGTAATTAGGCGAAAGTTATTCATTAATATTTTTATAATTTCAAACTTACTATCAGTTTACGTTATTGAGAGTCTGATGTTGCTTGTCTAGCCGCATTGTTGGAAATTTGAGCTAAATCAATTTATATAAACACATGATTAGCTTACAACAACAAGGCGAATACATTTTCACCTGTTCATTGAAATTTGAAACTTGAATAACTACTTAAGTCATTGAAGAATTTTGGTTCAGATGTAATGTTTAAACGTAGTTCATTCCATCTTTTGTCATTCTACCAGCGGAAAGGTAGGTATTCCACCTTGCTGCTCACATACACATACTACAGTTGTTTCATGATTTATCTTCAGTTTACACCCGTATATGATGAGTATATTTACATAAAAATCTTAAAACTGTAAACGGTAGACGATCATGAAAAGTACAAGATGTTTCATGCATAATGAAGAAATAAAAATGTCTACGTAGTGAGCATATCAATTTAACGGTTGACAAGAACTTAGAAGTCGTATCATTTTTATGTTATAAATAATAGATCTATTGTTTTTTGTAAATTTTTTTGTATTGTGTAAAGCTTATTGTAAAAATTGATTATAAGTTAAACAAGTAACGATAATTTATGTTTTGACTGACAAAATATTTGCTACTGACAAAAAATATATTTGCTCATGAATGAAATTTTATAATATTAATGCCATAACAACGTCATTTTTATCTTAATTTGAAAATAGTTTGCCTAATGCTGCCGGCAATATCTATTTGAGGCGACATACGTGACTGAAATTATCTATTGAACCCTAAAAATATCAAAAATCAATGAATGTTATATTATATCTTTATAGATCAATTGGGATATTTGATATATTTAAGGTAGGATAATAAAGAAGCATAATAATGTTGAGATACCATGTTCACTGTTTTGAAGTCTTAATTATTTTTTTCTGGTCATAAAAGTCTGTTGAGTAATTTCCGACGAATTGAACACATAAATATATAACTGTTTATCTACTTTAACGGGGAATGTAATCTGCAGTAATGTAAAGTATTTTCAATTAGAGTTATGGAGATTAGTGTTTTTACACATTTGAAATCATCAATCATTCTTAGACCACCATTAGAAACCTGGCAGTACTGAACGTCCGTTTTGTCCTGGTATGGAACTCATCAGCAGTGAGCATCCATGACTACTGCACCTAGCAGGATCCAAAACCCTAGTTCTTCGTTTGATGAGTCCCACAGCAGGACGAAACGGCCGTCCAGTGCTTCCAGGTTTCTAATTTTGTTCTAACAATGATTGATTGATCATTTTACAATGTAATGTTTGATTGGAAACTTGAAAACAGACATCATCAGTTAATTTTTCGTCTCAAAACAAACTGTAACCATTTCATATTTTTTGTGTGTAAATAAACAGGATTTTTGTTGCTTGTATTTCTTTTTTTTTAATTTTTTGTAATTTGCAGATATTATGTTCAGATCAAATAATAGTGGATAATTTAGTCAAAGGGCAATTGCAAGAAAAAATTGCTGAATTAAAACGTCAATTCGCTGAACTTTCATCATTCATGCAACAAAATATAAACATTGTAGATACATTGAAAACATTGGAAAAGAGGTAAATTTTTAAATTACTTAATGTATCTATTTTGTGATCATTCACTTCAATAGCTGTTTGTCTGCATTCTTTAAATCCATTTGAACTAATCTAGAGATTTATAGAATTTAATCATTGTTGATCCAAATAATTTGAGACAAAATGTCAATTCTATTTTGATTGTATTAAGTGTAAAACAAACTTCTTATGTAATTTAATAAATCATCTTAGTCTGTCGTTCGGTATAATGGTTTACAATTAATAAATATTTGTACAAATAATATTTTTCTGACCTCAGTTGTTTTTGTTGTTAGAATTCTTTTACTTGACTGTTGATCTTATGATCATTCAAGTTCATTCATATTGATCAACTTGAATTTTCTTTTATTTCTCTTTTGTATTCATTCAGTTTTCTACTATATTTTCACATAATGAATAAATGTTAACACTGTTAAGAGTCGAATGAAGTAGCACAAATAAGCACAAACAAGTACTATTGCGCTACAGTATTTTGTGAAGATATTAAAAAATTACATAAGAAGATAACTTGTAAAATTAATTAAATAATATGAACAGCTATTACATGAGTTCTGTATAAGAGCTCTTGTCAAAGAGAGAATATGCTAAGAATACAACTTTAAGTTCATCTCTAGCAACTGACTTTTCTATAGCTTTTACTAGTTATTTGAAGTAGTTTTCATGAAGCCAAAAATAGATAAATTGATTTCCAGTTTTTTTAGTTGTGAACTTAGGTTCTATTCATCGTTATTTTAATGATTGTGCTATCTTCCTTTTATCGAAACTATTTTCAAGTGATTTTAAAGAATAAATGACGTGTAATGTTTTTGTAAATTATGCAGTCATTAAACGCAATTATGAATTCACATAATATTGAAGTAATTTATTTTATGAGCTATAAATTTATGTTGTGTGAAAATCATGGATTGAAATAAATTGATTGCCAGGAATTCCACATGTGACGTATTGAATCCACTGAATTTATTTTAAGTTTTAAGTGTCCTTAAATATAACTACCTGTTTATCATTATTTCTCTAATTATTATGTGATTTCTGTCTGTTTTTCTTTGAACAGTTAGTTATGCTTAAAGCAAGTCAAGTTCTTATTTAGACTTGTGAAATAGTGACATTAATGAAAAACTATCAGTATTTATATGTTTTATTTTCATTTCGATCACGGGTTACACAATATTTTGCTTTAGTGTTAATTGTTCAACTGATCACATAATTGATGTCTGTGAGTTGTAAACACTATCCTTCAAAAGTGTTTTGATAGTTGGCTTTCTAATTAATAGAGTATTGTCAAAATGTAGTGATGGTGTGTATCGAATAACGTTATGCATAAGTTATATGAACGTGTATATGTGTAGGAATGGATTTTCTTTCAGATAAAACCTTTTAATAACAGAACAAATATATCATCATCCATACTGAATGGTTACAGAATTCTTTTACAATTAAGTAAGAGACAAGACGTTGATTATAAATTACGTAATCTGTTAAAATATTGAAAAGATAATTTTTTGGAATCAAATTTATGGTACTATCTGATGAACTAGTTAGTTGTGTTCATTTCCATAGTTTAATAAATAATAAACATATTAATTGAATGAGACTTATCTGTATATTTTGAAGAAAATTTTAAGGAGTTAACATGCAAAAATGACTGATATTTTATGATATAAGCATAGAGCAGCTAATAAAATAATCGTGAAAAAGATTGAAAATTCCCATAACGTTTTAGTGCATATGAATTGATTCTAATAAAAATTACAAATGATCATGTTATCACTTGACGTGTTCTAAATTTACTGAACAATGAAATGTTGGGTAATCAAAAAATTGAGAAATGAATTATTCCATCGAGTAACTTTATTTAATTAACAGTTAATGAAATCTAGTCAAGGAAGAGAGGGGCTTACTTGTTCAAAGAGTGCCATTTAAAATAGTTAAATGGAAAGAAACATGGAAGTTATTCAGAACAAATGAAATAATCGATAAAAATTCGGAATATTCAACTATGTGTACTCCTTGCAATATATCATAGTACAAAATGACGTTTATTTTACTAAGATAGTAATTGCGAAGCTCTCCAAATTTGTTTAACTGGTTAATTTTTTCAGTGAATGTAATATAAGTACTAGGTATTGCTCCTGCTACCCAACGTAAAGCAGAGACCAGCAATTGATGTTCTCCAACTGATTTATTTTATTTTTCCGTAACAATGTTATCTAGGATGTTTTACTGTCAAGTACAGCAAAAATATTTTTTTAAATTTAAGTCTATGCGGAATTAGGACTTGAACTGTTTATTATGGGATTTAAATAATGAGTAAGAATGATACTCTGGGTACGTTAAACAGATAACAACAGTTATATTATTAACAAATATTATTTATTTCATTCTGGTTTACTGACGAATTTTGAATTTACTGAGGATAGAATTGATGGAAAGCTGATCTATCAGGTATGATACATATGTGAGTAAATATGCGAAATTCTTTTCTTAGTTATAGAAAGATAAATATCACTGACCAACTAATGATAATTCTGCATAGCCTGGCCTGCTATTAAGCTTTGCATTTGTTCAACATTAACATCTTGATCAAACAAAAGTCAATGATATAATGCCTACTCTTTATTTTCTTTCATTTTTATTTGGTAGACAGAGCATGTGCAGTAAATTTCATGACTGTCATCTCACATGTAGACATTTTTAAGAATTTATAGTTTGTACGTTTTTCTGAAGTTTCAATGATTATTCTTTATCCAAAGAACTGTTTGTGAGGTCATTTCAACTTGTGAAGCCAACGATTTATGTTTAACTTTGTATGTCAGAATAAAATAATCTCCTTTGAACTAATGGATACAGTTAATAAACTAATGTTAAACAAAAACTTTAATGCATCTATGACATCATGTTAGTAATAAAAAGTAGCCAATTCACTATTTTATAGATGTAGATAATATTCACTTGTCGGCATGTTTGTTTCTAGTCTGTAATCTTGATTTTTAAAAGGTTTCAAAGTAATTTGTAGGGAAAAAAGGAATCCGGTTAAAAGTAAGCTAATGCTATAGTAAACCTACAGAACATAATTACGATTGAACAAATGTAAATGCTTGATGAAAATGAAAGAAACAGATTTTAGCTTTAAATGCTTCATATATCAACAACTTATGATGATAATTCACCGACTACTATTTACTTGAAAAAAGTGAAGTGGATAAGTTATTATCGAAATTGTAGCCGGAATGATAAATCAATCTATGGTGTTGTTTAGGTGTATGATAATTATTTTCGCTGAAAAATTTCATATATTTTATGGTAATATTTTTGTTTTCACTTTTAAATAGTTATTACTTTGTATATTCTTATCACAGTGTTCATTTTCTAAGTTGAGAGTTGCATTTTCTTTTTAACTTGTATGCTGTAAATAAGCTTTTGTTGATTTAGTTTATAAATACCGCTTTAATTAGAGTTGAGATCAAAAGAATATTAAAAGCTGACTGCTTTTGTTTCGAAATAGAACATGTAATCAACAGATGAATTTCATATGATTTCAGTTGCATAAGAATAAAGTTATCAGCTTCAAATAAATGTTTTTAAATTATCTTTGATCGTATACAAACAATGAAGTTAAATATTTAGCGCTTTTTACAACTCATTTCGACGGAGTATAAAACAAAAATATAATTTAAGCGGAAAATGTGAAGTGTAGAGAAACAGACAAATAGAATTACCTCTATTTCGTTTGATCTCTAAGTTGTTTTTTTTCTTTCTAAAACTTTTTTCGCCCATCAAATTGATCATTAAATAGGAAATTAGTTACTATTTATAATTATTCTATATTCGTTTAACTAGTAACTTTATATGAAAACAAAATTAATGAAAAAAAATACTAGTAACGTTTGAGTATTGACTCGTAAATAACTATTAGCATTCCAGTATGAGATCAATGATCCAGCAGTGTTATTGAATTTTTTGGTGCAATTGTTGCTCTTCATGTTTTTCATATAAACTAATAAACCACATTAAATTAAAATTTAAAATAAATATAAAAGAAACAAAGTTTAATATAGGCTCAATGTTGTTAAGTGGTGGTCTTAGTTGAGAAACATGTTTCCTTTTGAAAAAAGACATTTTCGTGCGTAGTATATATCGGTAAATACATTGTTTTAAAATACTTTCAATTTATGTTAATATTTAAAAAAACAAAATTGGAGTTAGTAAAACACCTAACCAATGTTTAACCATTATTGTGAATGTTTAATTAAAAGTAAATATTGTCCAATCAGTTTCAGGTTATATGGATAACACAAAAGTATAGAAAACAACTACTGAAAATATAATACTTACTTACTTACGTATTCCTGTTACCCCAATGGAGCACAGACCGACGACCAGTATTCTCCAACCTGCACTGTTCTGGGTTTCCCTTTCCAGTTCTGTCCAATTTTTGTTCATTCTTCTCACGTCTATCTCCATTCTTCGGCGTAATGTGTTCCCTGACCTTATTCCTTACTGTTGTCTCTAAAGAGTCCAGGAGAGGGTCTGTCTTTTAACTCAGTTGGATGCTTTCCGCAGTGTGTGTCTTATCGACTTCCTCCGTTGGAATCTTGTTTGTCCTCTCCCACGGCAGGTTGTTGCTGTTGGTGTCTGGCCAACGGATCCGAAGTATTTTGCTTAGACAGCTGTTAATGAATACTTGTATCTTCTGGATGATGGCTTAGGTAGTTTTCCGAGTTTCCGCTCCATACAGTAGATTTGTCTTGTCATTTGTATTGAAAGTTGTGATCTTAGTTTTAGTTGATGGTTGCTTTGAGTTCCAGATGTTATTCATTTGTAGAAACGCAGCCCTTGCTTTCCCGATCTGCGCTTTCATATCTGCACCAGATCCAGCATACTCATCAATTTTGCTCCCCGGATATGTGAATGTTTCAAAATTTTCATGTTTTGTTGCAACGGATAATCCTGCTTTTACTCTTGTGTGTGTTGAGACCTGCTGCTGCAGAGGCTGCTGCTACACTGATTGTCTTCTCTTGCATTTGTTGTTGCGTGTGCGATAGAAGAGCCAGTTCATCTGCGAAGTCCAGATCGTTCACCTGCTGTCCAATGTATCAAGTGCTTTCCTCGATCACCAGTGGAAAGGTAAAGGATGAGAGTAAGCAACCTTGCCTGACCCCGGTCTTTACTTCGAACGAGTCTGTGATCTGCATTTTATGTATATTTTTGCACTTTAATTCAGTATAATAATTCCGTATGATTTTGACTATCTTCTCAGGATCGCCTTAGTGTCAAAGAAGCCTCCATAGTGTTCTGTCCACGCTATCGAATGTTTTCTCGTAGTCGATGAAGTCAATGTAGAATGGTGAGTTCCGTTCAATTGATTGTTCCAAAATAATCCATAGTGTGACGATTCGGTGGGTCCTTGATCGATTCTTACGGAATCCAGCAAATTGATCTCAAATTCGATTGTCCACGGAGTCATTTATTTTGTTTAGCACCACCCTGTTGAAGACTGTTTCTGGCATGGATAGTATAGCAGTAGTTCTGTAGTTTTCACACTTGCTGAGATCGCCTTTCTTTGGTATTTTGATGAGGTGTTCTTCTAGTCGGTCTGTTGGTACTTGTTCCTCATTCCAGATGTTGCTGAGGAGGATTTGAAGTATCTTCGCCTCTTCGCGTTTACTTTCAGTGCCTCTGCTGGAATGTTGTCTGGTCCTTCTGATTTACCACTCTTGATTTGTCTGACGGCCATACTGATCTCTGCAATTGTAGGTACGCCAACATCGATTGGGAGGTCCGTGGATGCTGCTTCGATGTTGGGTGGGTTCAGTGGAGCTGGTTTATTCAAGAGTTCCCTAAAAAGCTCTGCCCATCTATTTCGCTGTCCTTCAGTGTTGCTGATTACTTTGCCTTCCTTGCTTTTCTCTGGTCGTTCCGGTTTGCGATAGTTTCCAGCGAGCTTCTTTGTTGTTTCGTACAATTGTCTCAAGTTTCCGTCTCTTGCAGCCTTTTCTGCCGTCATTGCTAGATCTTCCACATATTTTCGTTTGTCAGCTCTGATGCTCTTCTTCACTTCCCTGTTTGCTTCTGTGTATTCATCTTGTGCCTTAACTTTCTCTGCTCTTGTTCGGCTGACATTGATTACTGCCTTCTTGTTCTTCCTTTCTTCAATTTTTTCAAGAGTACCAACAGAGATCCAATCCTTGTGATGGTACTTCTTTTGGCCCAGAACTCCGTGACATGTTGAAGTGATTGCCTCCCTGATCCCTTTCCAATTGTTCTCCAGTGTTGCTTCCTCTCCATTGAATATATCTTGGAAGCCCTGAAACCTTTTGGTGAGGGTTATCTTGATTTAGTTGAGTTTTACGGTATCCAGAAGAAAGGCCAGAAAGTGGTGACCAGAGGCTATATCAGCTCCTCCCCTGGTTCTCATGTTTTTCATGCTCCTTCTGAACTTTGCAATGATGTAGGCATGGTCGGTTTGGTTCTGTCTGATGTGATCCGATGAAATCCATTTAGCTTTGTGTATGCGTTTATGTGAGAATACGGTTCCCACAACATTCCATGTACCTAAAAGAATGGTTGCTCTTGTTGTCAAAAGATTCATCAACCTCTTCTGAATGAAGATATTCTAACTCTCAGGGCAACGTTGAAATGGTTTGAACTGTTTTTTCTGGTTATTGTTTTTTAGTAAGTTAGTATTCTACGCCCGACCCCTTCTTTTATCAGGGTTTGGGACAGGCAGCAGCTCTATATCTGCTCCAGGCGAAGTTATTGTAAGCATATATAGGATTTAACATATGAGTTTAGCGTCAAATAAATTAATAATTAACGTAGTCCCTCAGGGAGATCGTCAAATTTTCTAACATAAATTCAATATTTCTACGGGTTAATTGTAGAAACATTATAAGATATATAGACTTGATACCAAAGGGAATATCCTAACAAGTTCCACTCTAATTTACCAATAATAAACACTTATCAAGGCTACAGTTGTCTTATGACTTAAATGTGGCAGGTTTTAGTTATGCTAACAAAAAATTTGAATCACATTTTACTTTTAAATTTTGTAAACTTTAGAAAACTTCGTTCAGTTATATCAAATGTAGAATTGTATATCTTTGGCAATACATTCAAAAGCATTATATTGTACATAAGGTCTTTAAATAAATGAAAAACTGTGTTTAAAACTGACATTCAGATTAAAGTTCCAGTTTTCTTAGTTTCGTCAAAAAATACTTTATTTTTTCCGGGTGAAATTTTAATAAAGTGTTTAAAGATAAGACATTAAAGATTGTTTTTATAAACCGATTTCTGTCATTAGTTTTATTCTTTTCTATAAACAGATTTCAGTGTGACGTCATTATCAAATGTTAAATTTCTGAATGCATTCATTTATTTGAAACATTAAAATTTAGACATGTTGACATTTATAAACACAATAGGGAAATGTCTACCTAAAAACACGTGATGTATTAACGTGTTTGGAAAAAAAACATCAGTATTTATTGAATTGTAATCCAAAAATTTGAATTTACAATAAAGATCACTGATTTCGAAACAGTCACTTATAAATAATTATTCAATGTTTCTTGTAGTTTTTACTAAAACTGCATTAAATTAATGTTATTATGATGCCAGCTTACCAATTGGATTATGTAAATATTGACAATGTTATTAATATGATGAATAGATTGTGTGTTTCCGGTTTTTGTTATTGTTAACTGACTGACAGAATTGTAAAAATGTTGTATTTGCTGAATGATAGGTCGTATGTTTAATGTTTGAGCTAAGAGCTAATTATCAGTAAGTATAATAGAATTATCTAAACTGAACAATGAAATGTGATGTCTCCAATAAGGTATTATACTAACTTCTCATTTTATGAGTGATAACTTTGCGAACGAAATTGAATAGGTAAAGGCTATTTTATTTGTTTTGTACATATATATGTTTATCGATATATATCTGTACATGGTGAAGATTTTTCGGCTTCATTTGACAGAAGTCGACAAAATAACTGATGTTACAATCTTCGAACATACAGAGCTTCACTTGAACATTCCTAAGGTACTGTATAATGTGTGTTTTTAGTGAGTGACCTACTTGAATGCCAAAATGAAACATTTTTATTCAAGACAACTAAAGTTTTGAACAACAGCAACAACAAATCGTGTTGTTGGTGTTATTATTCGCGAAAACAGCTGATGTTTTGACGCTGTTAACTAACATATTCTGTGAATAGTTAACTTTCTTTGACCGCATTCAGTTTTTCTCACATTAATAATGTCTGAATAACAATCGACATTTGTTTATTATGATAGACTTGTTTTATCACTAACTTATAGGATATTACTAAGGTAAATAAAAAAACAGTTGAAAGAGTTAAAGCATTCTTCTGATTTATTTGATTGGATTCACGTGTGTATATTTACCAAAAAAACAAACAAGGTCAGTTAGTCTTATTAGTTACATTGATCCGTTACCTAAGTTTTATTGCTACTTTTAGAGAATAAGTTAGCGTGGTTTTTAATTTTTGTTATAAGGTTTTATTCAGTCGAAATGTTGGGCATATCAGATCCTTAGAAATCGCCTTGTAAACTTCTTAACTTTTGAATGTATTTTTGGAAATTTGAATCGCTTATTAATTCGCGGATAGATCCCCTTATTGCCCTCAGTCCACATTTCTCACCTTCAAGAACCTTAAACCTCATTGTTTAGTTTTATTTTTTAGTGTTCCATCCTATGATTCTTCCAAGGATGCTTTTTGTACTATATATTTTCAAATCGTCTTCCAAAGTTTTCAGTGGGTTATTGCCTCATACCCGACATATTCAAAATGTACCGGTCACATTTTGTTATTATAAAGTGTACAGAGGAATCTTGAAGATGGTCACGAGTGAGCACATGATTATTAGAACAACAGAATGGAGATTTATGAAGATTGTACAATTTTAACAGTCTTTAATTGACCTTTGTAAGGACAATGGAAGATAGTTTAACAATAAATTGAAATTATTAAAATTAGACATGCAAACCATTGAAATCCAGCTCAGTGGTTTAAGTAGTACCCACTCATCGCTTCACTTTATGGTCCTGGTTTAAATCTTCCACGGAATCGCAGATGTATACTTTTGAGTAGTCTTATGCTGAGACAAAACGGTTCTTCAATGCTTTCAGCATTTTAATGGAATGATTCGTGATAAAAACTAAGAAGAGTGAGCAATCTTCACAAACCCTGCAGCAATAAACAATAAAATATACTTTTTCATGAATAAACTGCTGATAGTATAAAAAGCAACTTAACGATTTTCATATTCATAAAATATCTAATTAAAATTCTATTTTATTTTTCCCGTAGATTTGATTTGGAAACTGAAACAAGGCATACAAACTTGAATATGCATGATGATATTTATCGTAAAGAGGATGAAATACGCAAGGCAAGAATAGCATTAGCTGGAATAGAAATACAGGTAAGTTTGACATATAACTTTCCAAATATATTTATACCTTTTAGAATATTGGATTGTTTGTCTGTTTTTTATTTTTTTGTATTTATGAATATGTCAAATTTAATTTTCTGGTGAACTATTTTGATTTTGTAAAATATTTAAAAAAAAATTTGTATTTTCACCAGTCTGTTCTAATTTGTTTATCAGACAGTTATTATTGATATATGATTTAAACTAGTCAGACAAAATGACAGTATGGTTTGAATAGGATATTGAACAAATAAATAAATCATTTGTAATTATTTTAGACTCAATTACTCTTTTTATATTTTCTGAGAATTCGAGAATTTCAAAATCCATTTCAGTGATCATTTAACGATCAAGGACTTAACGTTAAATTGGACAACTGCATGAAATGAGTCAAAGTTTTTTAAATTTATCTAATAGCAGTTCATTACTTTCATTTTATTCAAAATATCAAACTATGTTTACCTCAATGAACAGTCTTAGTATTATAAAAATTCATCTTGTCCATTGTAAAACTTTAATGAAAAAAGGTGATGATTCCTTTACTAGAATTCAACAACTGTTTGGCTGTCTCCAATGGTTGATATTTAGTGAAAAATAAACTTCCATAGATCCGCTTTTAAAAAAAACCAAATCACTGATTTCTGATTTTGTTTAAACAATCATGTGATAGCATTTATCATAGCAAAATATTTCAGTATTCTATTGAAATTATCCCCGGCTTCAGATAAAATGATAATTTTTAATGGTAATATTATTAATAAAATAAAAGTTTTCATTACTAATTGAAAATTAACTTCTTTTTAAAATTTAACTGTCAATCTAATAGTATAATAATAATAATAACAAATATTGTTTGTTTATTTTACGGTATATAAAACTAATCAATGTTTATTATGAATGATAGATATAGTAGCTATCAAATAACACTGAGTTATCGATTTAATTAAAGAAAACTGATCAAATGAACTTGTTCGCGTTAAATAAGATAACTCAGTTGATCAAGTTGTTAAAAAAATAAGTTTATTTTAATCTGTTTAAAAAAAAAATGTAAATTTGAAGAAAAATTCTTAGTTATTTTTAAAAATGAATAATAAAATTTGGTTCATTGAAATTCTTTATAGAATAACATAATTTTGATAATACTGATATATATACATATATATGACAGAAATTTCATGTGTTTCGCTATGTTTAATCTCGAAAAGTTAAAGATTCCGTTTTTTTATCTATTGACTCGATAAGATTTTCTTACATTTATATCATAATTTTATTACAAAAAACAGTTGATTAAAAAGTTATTAGGTTAAATACTATTAATGTTACACAAAACATGGTTTTAGTTTATAACGTTCACTGACAGATATATTCAAAAACATTATGGATGTTAATTAGAACTTCAGTTAATCTGAAACCTATTTTCCTTTGTATGAAATTGGTTCTTTTTTTCATAAAATGAATCTAGGCTTTATCATGTATGGGCATGAGTAACAGAGAACTAAAATGAAGATCCACAATTTAGACTAATGGATAGTGAATACATTTTCATGTCAGCTTTAGTTAGGATTTTAGTATGCAATTGATGTTGACGCTGAATAATGAATAAGTTGTCACACGTAGTTTAGTATAAAAACTAATGAATAAATCTTAACGATTCCAAGAAAGCAAATAAATACATTTGTTGGTGGGCCAATAAAACTTTATCGAATGAAAGTGAACTATAGTAGATGTGTACGGCATTGCTTAAGATTGTAAAACACTGGATTATATAGGCTAGTAAATAATATCCATTCTAATGTTAGATATTTTATTTCACATGAATAAAAAAGAATCTAATTTTATAATCGGAAATATGAAGGAAAGAAAATTTAGATGATTTAATGAGGTTTTTGACTTGCCACAGAAAAATGCTATTAATTATTTGACATTTTCAATCTTGTGATTAAAAAGGTAAGTGAAATAGACTATCATGTAGGTCAGTGAGATGGTATCGGAAGATAATATTCAACCATCTTTTATTGGGTGCAGTTCAGCATCCGACATGGTTTAACTCCACTGGTCATAGCTATTCACTCTACTCTAAGTATCGGTAGACAAGAATTCGATGCATAATGAGACCTGCAAAAGAACCTAATCTAAATACATATATATATATATATATATATATATATAATAATCCGTTAAAATATTGGGAGTGTACTACAGTTAAAAATTATCATTTTATCTTGATGCTTACAATAATGTGATGTAATGCTTGATAACTACTTTTTTTTCATGTTAGATGTTTATAAGTCTTTTTTTTCAAATGTACAACACATATGCTAATTAGAGTATTAGTTATGTGGAAAAAATGAAAATAAAAAGGAAAATAACCCAAGACCACATAGTTTATGGAGTACATGTGATTTCTGTTTTCTCTGTAGTTACTTTAAGATGAAATAAAATGTTGTTTATAGTAATTTGATTGATGTAATAGCCCATTTAAATAGTGTTTAATTGATAATTTATGCTATTCAATTCAATTAGGCACCATATTATGGTTTTGTAAATAATTATAGAAATTAAAAATCCTTAGGAAAATTAGCACAATTAAAATGAATGTATATTCAAATAAATATGCTGTAATTAAAAATTTTATGTTCCATGTAAAAGTATACAGTACGTTTTAAGAATAACACATCAGTGAATTTCAGGGACATTATTGTTGGGGATGTTAGATCCCAAGAACTCGTTTGATAAATATCTTTATTTTGGATTAATTTCATGGACCGAACTTGACCTTGAAATCACTTCTCCCATCAGAAAAATTCTTGGCTGTGATTGGCTACTGTGTCATTTTAGTGTGCTATTTTTGTGACTGTCTCAAGGATGTCTCTATAGAGTATAAATAAACGCAATTTGAGTGCTTGGATTCATTGTGTGGTGGCTGGCTGTTTAAGGAATACACTTCTACACCATATCAAGAATTCTTGTTGATACAATTGGGTCAAGGGATCACAGTAGCCTACCTGGATGCTGGTTCATTGTTTTGTTCTCGTTATTCGACTAAGGTGAACTCGTAATAGTTGAAGCATACCTAGAGACGAGCGTAACAATTATGACGTGTTTTTATTGACAGTGCTTTAAACTCGTAAACAGGACAAAATCAGTGACTATTTGAAAATTTTAAAATGCCGATGTGAATAATCGTTTCAGGTATGGAAATTAATCACTTTTCATGATGAAGTCATCATACAATGGTACTTCACAGCCAAAATATTATAACTGACAGAATCTTGAAGTCAAAGTGAATAATTTTGGTTTGAAACAATTAATTCAGTAACGTAAGTATTGTCCTGTATTTACCCAAGATATTTTAACCATGTCCAAAGAAATGTTTATGGCCATATTATTGATACATCACTGTAATAAAATAATTATTTACATCCTTGGGTCTAAACTTATGATATTTAGAATATCAGAATATGCAATGTTTATTGACCTGGATACTTTGCAGAGAAGTGGTTTTTTAAAAATAACTGCCAGATCATAGGTTACATACTCTGAAGCAACATTTTATTTAACTAGTACACACCATACCTCACATAAATGTAGTGCACTTGCAATCAACTTTTGAAGTGTAACGGATTGCAGAATTGATATCGTACATTACTGAGGTAAAATTAAATCTTCGGTGCAATCACGGTCTCATTATAGTCCGATGAAAGATGCATTTACAGGTTTCTTTTTCAATAACTCTACTAGATCACTAATCAGTGTAAATCCATACATTATTCGAACTAATTCATATTTTAGTCATTTAATTTAGATGTTACACATCGTCTACTATTTCTTTAAAATCCATTTTCGACTCCATCTTTATTTATTGAATTCGCGACAATATGAGGAATAATACAAATCTACTAATTCAAAAAAAGTATAAAGAATATGTTCTTTGATGTTCTACTTTAAAATAAGTTTTACCGCTACTAGTTGATTAGTCAAACTAAAATCTGTCTAATAATAAATCTGTTTAACTAATTATCTGTCTATACGAAAACGATTCCTCTAATAAAAGCCTAATTTGTTGCATATATATATATATATATATATATATATATATATATATATGTTTTATCGGGACAGGACTTCTATTCGTTACTTTATTTGGTGCTTACACGCAAATATGGAGATTATATTCACGACCTTTCTTAAAACAATAACCAAATCGACTTACCATGATTTTGTACTGAATAACTTTGAGTGACATGTTCCTTTAAACAGTTGATTACTATCATAAGAATACAACGAAAAACAAAGTGATTATCTTACTCTTTGTTGGTGATGAATTAAAGTTTTACAAAATCTACAAAACAACTTCTAATACTTTGAACAATATTTTTTTAAAAATAAGATACTACTGATTAAATTCATGTCTTCTTCAAACACAAACAATGATAATCTGTGACATTTTTTTGTTCTTTAATTATCAAAAAAAAATTCATTGGTTCCGTGTTTGGTATACATTTCGACTAATTACGATTTTATTATCTAACTAGAGAGATAAATCATGAATAAAATATTGTTCACTTCAGGACAAAAAAAACATGACCTGAATTTATGGGAAATTAATAGCATTTAGATGATTACTAGTCAATATATATGGTTTAGGCATTTTAGTTTCTTTGATCATGCGAGCATATATTTAGTAATGAATAATTGCATAAAAGTTTTCTCTTTAATTAATCCTATTTTGGTAGTTTAATAGGTTTTCCTTTTTTAAAATGAGCAACTTACAGAGAATTCAGTTTTATCGTGAAAACGTTTGTTTCATTTAGTTTACGAGTTGATATATTGGCAAAGATTTGATAGAGCAGAAATGCCTAATGAAATGAAGTAGTGAAGATTTTATCCCATTACCAGTTTTCTTAGCTGCCTCTTTACAATGCAATTGCTTCTTTGATAAGACATACACTTCATTTTAGTTATTATTGAGCTAAACATTGACTTCTATC